TGCGAGCCCTACAATTCCGGCTAAGCCCGCAAATCAACAAACGTTGAACCCGGAAACCAAAACTTGCTCGCTCGTCCCGCCCTGCTCTGAGTGCTCAGCAAGCCCGGAGGAACCAGCGATGTCTCTGGTGGCTTGCTCCTGGGTGGCTTTGGATGTATGGAGCTTCTCAGCAAAACTCGGAAGATTGAACAGTGAATCTCCAAGTCAAGTCTTTCCCAAACATGCACCCCCTCGGCCCCCAGCGCTGATGGCGAAAGCATCTGCATCATATTCTGGGGAGGCCTTAGCTTTGGCACAAAATACTGCCGCATTTCCGATGAAGCGAGTCCAGAAACTCACGATGACCCCCGGTGCTCGTGTGCGCAATGATGCACTACAGGGACATTGCGGTCCCGGGAATCTCGGCATGCGCTGGGCATCCACAGAAGGCTGTCTCCGCTCAGACTCCCATAAACTGAACTCGTGCCCAAGGTATCGCAACTGCTTCCTCTGAGACATGCCCAGATGTCTAAGCTTGACCACCACACCAGGGGCATGGGACACTCAGAGTGGGCTTCGGGGGGTGTTGGAACAGGAGCTCTTAACCGCCCACCTCAGCACCGAAGCCTCACAGAAAACCTACGCGGACGAAAGCTTTCGAGAGAACAACTCCATGAAACCCCCTCAACTCTCAAGCGCGCTCCCCAATCGACCAATAAAGCCAACAGATCAAAAAAAAGTCGACTGTTCGAAACTTCACTCACCACACGAACCAGGGCCTCTGCGGAATTACCCGGGGGGCCGGCGCTTGCCCCGGCCTCGGATGCTGAGACTCCAATCGCAACTGGCTTTTTTTTTGGATACCGGGGTTCTGCGTTTACAGGGCTTTTTACTGGCGCTCGCACGAAAGGTAAGGAGCTCCAAGAGTCGAACATTTGATACGATGGCTGATGACGGTAACAATGGTTTACGGGGTCTAAGGCTAGGGGGTGTTGAGAGACAAGGGCTCAAAAGGGTGAAGGTCGACACTTTATATAAGCAGGTAATCGGGTCTTGGCTTCGGACGTGGACATGCAAACGATAACAAACGAAGGCAAAACGAGCAAGCAACGCAAAGAAGGGCACATGCCGCATGATCCCTCGCAATCTGAGCAGCCCGCATCGATGGGAGCGCCGACATGGGCGTGGAGGCACCCACCCCTGCCAAATCCATAGCCAGTCACAGCATTCTTCGGACAACTCGAAGCCAAGTGACGAGAACTCATGCCGAAACTGGAAAGTCTCAAAGCGAATGTCCCAGGGAGCCACACGAATGACAAGCCAGCTTTGCATCGTTGTCCAGGGTTGGGTGAGTGCATAAAACGGCGTGAGAGAATGGGCCATCTGATATGTATTCCGACGACTGGCAACCTTCCCTCTCACCTTACAGCCCCAAATCGCATACGTCGTTCGCAAGTTCCGCAGGAGTTTAACATTCAACCCGAGCAGTGAACGCGTCACCCGAACCTCCACAAGCCTACCGCAAGTTGGGCGGCTGCTTTAGAATATGCTAGATATGCGGCACCCAGCAACACAGCCCAGCTCTCACGAATCTCAATGTACCAAATTAAACAACAACGAGGAGACGTGACGACAGTAAGTGCTCCTGCCAGGCAAAAACACACCCCCGCAGCGGAAGCAAGAGAGAAAGCAACATTCAGGTGTCTTGTGTTACTGTTGCAGATATGTACTGGCACGGCCTGCTCCTGGAACCGTGCCAGCTGGAGCAGGACTGGGCCAAGAAGTTGAGATTACTTTATGTACAGGTCGGCTCAGTGTCAAGAATTTGCGGTGTGGGACTGTAGGCAATGCTCATGCTTAGGCTACAGATTCTTCACTTCGTGCTGAGGCTTGAAACCCTGGGCCTTCTCCCGGATGCCCTACTAACCCGGAAGTCCTGAAATCTACACCTCAGTCAAAGCTGCCATGAGAGTGACCCTGACAATCCCAACCACAACATTCCAACCACAACACATGCCACAACCTCCATCTTGCAGACAAAACAGAGGAATCAACATTGGCAAAAACAACAGTGCATACATCGCACCTACACAAAACAGCAGGTCTACCCACGAGCCCTCCCACACCCCCCAACCTCCAAAAGAGTTGGGAAGATACTTGGGGTGATTCTGCTGTCTGCTTGCGCCTTGTGTGGTGTCTCCGGGGGGTTCAATTACCTTCAAGCGGTTGGTTTCCGCCTCCCAGTCCTTCCCGTTGCTTCTATACTGGCAGGGCACAGGCTGGGACCTGGTGCCTGAGCAATTGATTGTTATGCTTTGGGTGTCCTTCGCATCAGTCCATGTAGAACCAGAAGCCCGGGGAGTAGAAATCGTAAGCGTGGCTTGAAAAGAATAGGGGGAAGACTCGGCGGACCTTTGTCAAGCAATGGCCGGGTTTCTACCGCGTGGTGGATTGCCAAGATGAAGCACAAGAGCAACAGAATAAACAACCAAGCGACATACGGCTAACAGAAACCATTCGAATCATTAGGAGAGCCCTCTCAAGCTCCCAGCATCCCAAGGGCTTGCGCGGCCGCAGCCGCGGCCGCTTGCGCTTCGGGCGGCAAGGTCCTGCAGGGCCGATTTGTGCAAAATTTTCCCTGTGCACCCATGGACTTTGCACGTACGCACGGGCTCAATCGCGCTGAGGTCCTAAGTAGATGCTGATTTTGCCTGCTTTTATTGTGGGATGTGTTGACCTGGCTCAGGGGTTAACATCGAGGTGCAAGCATTGATCGCCGTCTCCTAGTGGTCCTAGCGACAGGGCCATGTCAATGTCATTGCAAACAAGTGGCTGCAGCAGCGCTTGTAGCTCCGGGGGTACCCCGGGTACCCCTGCGGACCTCACCGAAAGCTTACGCTTTCAACATTCTGCAATCTTTGCTGCATGTCGTTTCTGGACAGCTTTGCCAAACATGGACACTAAGTCTCAGAAACGGGCCCGCCATTCTGGAAAGCTTCATCAATCCGCGGTACCTTTGCCAACTGCACCCCAAACACGTGGAGAACAAAAAAACACAGCATCGCGCCTTGCTCGGCGGTAAACCGAAAGCTTCCATGGCTCCGATTTGCTGGCAATGTCACAAACTCATACATGCCTGAGTATTCGACATTCGCATGTTACAAGTTGCACAAAGGGCTTTCTTAAGCAATGATTCCATTGGCACTAGGCTTAATCAGACATCATGGGCCGATCCCATGCCACGACCTTGATCGATCTCAGCTATAGATGTCACCATCCGCTGCCCGTCCGGCCCAGACGACAAATCTCGACACAAAAGCTGGCGCAGCAAATTGCCAAGACTGGCGCACCACGGCTGAAACCCCGAAAGCAAGGACCCCGTCTTTTTGGATGTCTCAGTGCTTCTGGCCAAGGGGAGCTTACCAATGAAACCTCCAGTAAGTGATAGACCAATTCACCACTGCCATGCCGGCCACGGACCTTTTCACCGGCTTGGTTTGAAATGACGAACGGTTTCGCCAGAAAGTCGCATTTTGACATTCCCCAAGCAAACCGATTCTCCCATCAACCTGGTCCCTGGTCGACTACAAAAAAACCTGATTCAATCAACTGAGACACATGTGCATGCCCAGCACTTTCATGGAATGCCTTTCCCTTGCCCGACATCCAGGCATGACGCCCCAATGATTCTTAAACATTCACCGTCCACCTCATGCGCCGAAGTACAACGAAAACAACGGGAAGTCATCCAAAAAAGACCAGTTGAAACCGTACCTTAGTTTTATGAAAGTAAGCGTTTCGCCTACGTGACACACTTGTTTTGGGTGCCTACCAACAAGGCCGTCTTCCGGCTTTCGGGCTGTCGGTGTCAAAGCGTGGAACAAGATGCACTGTCACAAGCCTGTTGCGAACGTGCCCACAACACTGGAAGTTTCAGCGTGTTTGCTTTTCAATAGGTAATATTTTGCAGGAGTATGTTGGATGCTTCTGCAACCAGACGCGCTGTCACAATTGTTCATGCCTTTGCGAACATGCCGCACACACTGCTATTTACCGCATTTTTGCTTCAAACTTGCTTGTCAAGCTTCCACCACCGCCCCCCACCCCCACCCCCCACCCCGGAAAAACACGAAAAGCTGGGGACGGTTTCACCGCTGCCTGCAACAAAAAGGCCTGGCAATATAAGTGCTTTGTTGATACAGAACCACAATGGTTCGGCAGCACGAGATGGCCCCAAAACAAAAGTGGTTTGGACGCATTAAGGCCATTGCGCCCTTTGAAAAACAACAACAGCCAAGTTTCTGCAATCACAGAAATGCCGTTAGCCAACTCGGTACACAAATCCTGCTGCAGCGAACTTCTCATGAAGGCACGCCCTTTGCTGCAACGGCCTGCCTCTTCAGAAATACCTCAGGTCTGCTCATCGTGCATACAACGCCCCAACAACACAACATCTACGTCACAGCACCTGCAGACATTCAGCAGACAACAATGCAAGAGGTCCCCAAATCCTAAGGCCATCCCTTTGCCAAGAACCACATTTTTGATGCCACATGCGATTTCGCCTAGAATGATGTTCCCAAAAGTGGGGGAATTTCAACTGGAGCCACTGTTCTTGCATGTTTTACTGAATACAAGCAACTGCCCAAATGGTTTAAAATTGGGGAGTACGATGTCTTGGGTGTTGGACTGGTGGGTTGTTGAAATGGCGCGCTGTTCCGTTCCGTGTGAGCTGCCGCGTGACTTGGGACCTCCTTTCCTAAGGGCCGACGCACTCAATAATCGGGAACCGAGGTCTATTGCAAAAGGAGTCTTAGGACTGTTGGTGGGGTAGACAGATCCTGCGGCGCTGCGGCAATGGGATACCCAAATTCTACCGCGTCGGGTCCACTAAATTAGCATGTGCTGCAGTATGTCCGTCACTCTGGCCACAGTCCAATTTTGCTTTGCAAAGGCTGGCGCTGAATTCCCGTTGACACAACGGAAACATGACCTGTGCTAGAACATGCACTGTGCTAAAACTACTTGCAAGCTGACACCGAGAAAGTCTCGAATTTGTGCAAGGAAGGCGCGTACCACATGAAGGGCTCCAAGTTGTGCAAATCGCTTCTGTGCAAGAAGAACATGATTCGACAGCCAACGGACCTCATCATGCGTGCTTGAGAAAATTCGTCTGCAAGTTGGTCCTCCCTGGGGCCATCTCTGAACCTGGGGTGAGCAATGTAGCAGTGCCACAACATGGCAGCCGGCGCGATTTGAGCCACCACCAGCAAGCCAAGACCGTCAGTCTCCTTCGCCGGGCGCGGCTCACAGAGCTCAATCCTGGGGATATTGTTGTGATAACGTCAAAGCAGATCGTTTTGGGGGAGGGTTTTCGAGTACACACGAAAATGCAAAATGTGTCTCATGCTCAACAACATCCCAGAATCAATGTTCCAAGGCAACGTATGCTGCTTCGTTCACTGAAGCGCTGCAGGCCCTGGCGGTGCACCGTTTGCAGGTGTCGGTTCATGCGCATTTGAGCTTCCACAACACGCACTTCATAAAAGGCCGCAATTCCGTCTGGAACATGCTTCTGCACTTGAATCCGGCAAAGCTTGATACCATCATTAGCAAGTTCCTCCACAAAGCCACATCTGGCGTAATGCGTCAAAGTCTGCAAAAGAAACTTCTCGGCTTGATCCCATGTACCAGGCCATGCCTGGTATTTTTCGTTCCAGAAGCCAATGGCCATTTTTACTTCTGCACACACCACGTTGCTTAGGCTGGTCTGGTCTGAGAGCTCCAGCAGCTCAAACAAAGCTTCCAGCCCTTGCTTGTAGATTGTCTCGTCGTACTGCAGCTTTAGACAGCCCAAGCTAGCATAGCTCTTCCAAGCCAGCGCCAATGCTCGAACCGCTGTCGCGTGAGCGGTGCCGTACGCTCGCGCCGTCTTAATGATCTGGTCAAGTCTCTGCCACATTTCGCACTTGCGACGAAACCTCTTTAGCACGTAATAGTCTTGCAGCTGAAAAAGCAGCATGGCCTCCACGGAATAATGTGTCCAGCTTCTTCGCATTTGTGTTGCTTCATCTTGGAAATCTGCAAAGGACCGGAATTGGCAGCTGCTCAGAAAATTCATGATGTCCACATGCAAGTAGAGCATCTGGCTGCCTCCGCTCGCCACATGAACAAAAAAACAGGATCTGCAAGTGATTTCTGTGCCCATTTAACTAGAATCAGGTTTTCGTGGCATTTGCTGCGAGGGATATATTGTAGTCACATGGGCGAGCAAATCGCTTAGGAGGGTGTTCCAGACATGCACCATTGCGCTTTGCATATGCATCATGAAACGCACGGTTACGCTACTATGGAGTCTTGAAATAATTGCCAATGATTCCCTTACAGACCCTATAAAATCACAACATGATATGCTTCATTAACAGCGCCTGTAGTGCGCCTTGCTGTTTTGCATAGAGTTGTTTTTTCATATTTCTATAAACTTGGAATAAATCCGTATTTATAACAGGGCGTATCAGCTAGCAGGCCACGGCTCCCTGAGACTGTCTATAAGTTCAGAAAATTAACGTGCCAACACCCAGGCGACAGCAGCAGCATTTTGTCGTGGACTCCAAACGAAACTTTGTCAGGCCCTGCTCTTTTTTTCTGTCTTTGCGTCTTTCTTCAATCTTTCTTTCTATGTCTTGTTGCTTTCTTTCCGTCTTTCTTTCTATCATTGTGTCTGAAGGGGATGTGTGTCTGAAAGGGGTGGCGACACCCATTCAGATGGCGACCATGCCCAAAACACTTTTGCCTCTTTGTACAACATACGAAAGGTTGGGTTGCATCGCTTGGGTTCATGGTTAACGTCGGCAGAGTCGTTATTAACCCCCCAGCCCCACCCCGCACGCCCACCCCCCACCCCCCAGCCGCCCACCCCTCCCCCCATAAGGCGCGTTAGGGGCGCCGTCACCTAAAATGAGACCCGTGCCCCCACCTTGCTTGCCCAAAATGGAACTGATAATATTGCTTGCCCAAAATGGAACTGGTACTAGAAGTTGTATTCGTTCTCAAATAATGAGAGGTTTACCAGTAGGGAGAGGGGGTGAGGACATGGGCGTTGAGCGCAGGACATGTAAGTAATGTGTTATACTGGAAGTCATGACTCCCTGCAATGACTGCAGCTCTTGTCAAATGCTTTTCAGCCATCCGCAGTAAAAGTCAAGCTACCATCTTGCAAGAATGAGCTGCCGTCCACCTTGCACAAGGCATGCGGTACTTGCTGTTCATCTTGCACGTCGTGTTGCTTAGAAGCACTGCCCAGAAGGAGGATTGAGCATTTGCCAAACGTCGGCAATTTAACACCCTGCGGGATGTGATAGCACGGCTTCCTTTTTTTTATTTTTGGTGCTGGGGTCACCTCCTTCCTTTGCTGCGTTTTGATCCAAACTTGGGTGAACGACAGTCGGGTGTCTTACCACTTGCCGAACAGGCTGCTTGCACACAAACTCCAAGCTCCGGCGCTAGACTTGTGCTGAAATCTGCCCATGCTCCACTGTGGCAAAAATCCAGAAGAAGGAACAAGATGGCAGATGGAAGGGCGAGCCTCCTTCTATTCCTCCACAACTGTATGACATCTTTACATGATACTGTGCCATCATCCAGCTGCAAGTTGCCATCTGTACCCTCACCCTGAAGAGCCACAAAGAAGAAATCCTGCCGCTCGTTGAAGAATGCTCGTAAGCGACGGAAGAAATCATCCCGGTTCAGCTTGGACGAATGGATGGAGTCGGGATGCACATTCACCTGGTAGCAAGGTCAGCAGCCTGCTTAATGACTTACTTGAAATCTGTGGACTAGCATGGGCTTACGATTTCTAAATCTCTAAACGCATCGTATAACATGGCCTTTGGCCTCAAAACTGTTCAAATGTTAGCTCTTAGAACCTGCGGGTTAGCTTTGGAGATCTCACACCTGCCAGTCTTCACGGCAAAACCGGGACATCGTTCCATAATCAATCTCCGTCTTCAACCTCGGGCTTGCATACATCTGCTGGAAAAAAGCCTATATCCCACAACAGTCACCTGCTGTTTTACCAATAACATCCAAGATGTAACACAGTTTGATTCAACAATGGACGACCGGAACTGTCTAAACAACAACAAACCACCGGGCCAAAACCATACTCAAATTGCGAACGTGGACCACTCCAGAATGTGCTATGTTTATCGAACTTCTTCTGGGGTACTGAAAGTTGCCATGAAGCCAACAGCTTTAGGGTTTAGGGTTTAGCTCTAAACCTAAACGCTCAAGGATGAGTGCTGCGAGGGAATGCTATTTAAAGACTGCTATAGGTATGCCTTAGCAAGCAGTATGTTGGCGTATTTAGAAATTAGTCTGTTGGCCGAGCCGTTAAATACATACAATCAGAAGAGAATTCTATCGACCGTTCCTGAGGCTCCTATACTGGGGAGCACACGGTTCAGCGATGAGAAAGTGGCTACTTTTAAGCGATGCCAGGCTGCCAAACGCTTCCCTCGTGCTTCAAGGCGCACGATAACACAAGCGCCTTTACGACGTCGGGGGCTTCTGGCCATTTTGTTTCATCACAAGCAAGCATCTTCCCGGCTGAGTTTGCACAGTCGCTGGCTGCATGTAAGAGACTGACACCTGTGACATCAACAACAGTTACTACTTTTGATGCAGTCCTCATCGTATATTGAGTACAACCACATCATCCCTGTCATCATCACCGCAACCACCACCACTCCTACATCACTAGCACTGATGAGATAAACCCAATTAATTTCTTTGGGCCGAATTGGCTAACAATCCGTGGTCAAGGCGATTTCAAGCATGCTGTTTGGGTCCACAAGTATGCAAGGGCCTCCTTGTGAGGAATCGCGCGTGTTCTGGCAAAATCTGAATACGTGCGAGCGCTAACGCTTTTCCAAAACAAACAAAAACAGGCTGCACTCGAAACAACAAAACAAGAAACGAGGGGGGTAGAATTCAGATTAATTCTCCACTCGTCTGATTTTCGTGAACACAAGAAACAAAACAACGAGAAACGGCCCCTGCCGTTGCGCATCCTGACGCTTTGTCATGAAGCTAAGTTCCTTTAATGTAGCGGAAGGTTTCAAGCGTTCAGCGTTAGCAGACCTGCCACTGCTGCTGCTCTGCCACTCCGCCCTGCTGCCACAACTGCCCTGCTACTGCTGTCCTGCTCCCCTGCCCACTGCGCACTGCTGCCCTGCCACTCCGCCACTGCTGCCGTGTCACTCCGCCCTGCTCTGCGCCGTTCCGTCTGATCAGTGCAGCACGGTCACAACACGGTCACAACGCGGTTACGTGGCACAACCGTCACAATGCGGTTACAACGCGATGACAACACAACGCACAACACGGTCACAATGCAGTTACTGCACGGTCACAACGCAGTCAGTGCACGGTTGCAACGCGGTCACAACGCAGTTACAACACAATGCGGTTACAACACAACACGCACAACACAACGCAGTTGCAACACAACGCGGTCACAACGCTGTCACAATGCAACGCGGTTACAACAGTCACAACGCGATTTCAACGCAGTCACAGCGCGGTCATAACACGCGGTCAATCAGTGAACACAACACCGTACTGCTGTTGACTGCTGCTGCTGCTGCTGCTGCTGCTCTTTCAAGCAAAGATTGCCACATTGTTAAATCATTGTAAGCTCATGTTTCGTCAAATTCTTTGTTCTGTCATTTTTTAAAATGACGCAACGTTGTGAAATACAACTACAGCAGAAGTAACCAGCAAAACACACACCACCGAGCAACACAACACAAACCAAACCAACAAACAAGGTCCCTCTCAATTCACGAAGACGAAGTAGCCCGATAGCAAAGTACGTTGCAGGCAATGTGCATCGCGGGCCATGCAGAGAGTGCTTGGTCGAAAAACACGGTTCTCTCAGCTTGGAGGCGAATTCTTAGGCGGGTGCATAAAAGGCCAGGCATATGCAAAAGGCTGGCAAAAGAGCATAATCGTCCAAGGGCAGCAAAGAGAGCGTTCTGTGCAATGCAAACCAAGGCTGTCTCAAGGGTGGATCAGACGTCTTCTTCTTCTTTCAACGCAGGGAGAGAATCCAAGCTTTGCGTCCACACATTGGCGGACGCATGAGAGTGGACCCAAATGCCCTGAGAACATCACGAATGACCAGGAACTCATACTACAGAGAGTGTGCATGTACACACATCGTGAGAGATGTACAAAACGAGGCACGAACCGATCTCTCGCTGACTAGAATAAACCTCATGTGAAGCTTGCGTCTGGTACATTTCCCAGCTCGCAGGGCAGACTGCCACCCTGCATTGTTTTGTCATCATTGAATTATTTTGAGATGCTGGAGTCATGAATCATTCTTGAGTCATCTTGAATCGTTACATTATTGAGTCATTAATGAGCCGTTTTTGATAAAAAAAAGGAGCTGTTTTGCAGCGAAGCTGAGCGTTTCCGCTTTAAAACAAATATCCTGCAGACTTACTCAGGTTGAAGTGCTGTTTTGGAGCCAAGCTGAGCTTTTTTCAGCAATGAACACCTCCTCAGATCTCACTCACTCAAAAAGCCATTTTGGAGCGTTTTTGACGTTTTTGGCTTTAAAACAAATCCTCTCCATCTACTTTCTCTATTATTCAGAGGTACAAGTCAGATTCGTGGCTAATATTTGTGGAGAACGCTTTTTTTTGAACCGAAGCCTCTTTACTACATCAGCAGCGCAGTAGGCCGTTCTTGTGGGTCTCAACACTAGAGGTGAAACAGAGCAGGTGCGAAAACCAAAGCAAACACACACCAAAACCACCACAAAACACAACCACCAAAACCCGCAGCAACCTGCCAAAACCAAAGCGCCAAACGTCTATGTGTCCCCCGCGCTCAGTACTCGAAGTCGTCGCAGAAATCCAGGTGTAATCGAGCAGCGCAGAGCATGCGGGGGGGTCGCAAAATGCGAGGGTTTGCCAGATCATCAAAACCACCATCATGAAGCCACTGGTGCAACGAAGGTCAGCACGGAAAGCTGTAAATCGAAGAAGGACAGCAAAGTTACCGACCAACACGGTCAGGTACCAGGCACACAGCAGCGAAAAGGGAAGGTACAAATTGGCCAACTTTCCCAGGGGAGAGGCAAGGCCAGCACGCGCCCCATGGTGGTCAGCCAGCAAGAACAACGGATGCAAGACCAGCCCAGGGCACCCCATGGTGGGCAGCCAGTGGAGCAGCCCCGAGCAACAGCCGACACAACTTGCGGCTCTATTATTGAAGCCCGGCCAAAGTTCCCAACACCGCACAACTGTGCCCAGTCTGACCACATACCCAAGTAGAAACTGGGGCCGCAGTCAGCAGGGCCCTCCAAGCTTCCCAAGGAGGAAGCCTGCGAGTGGCAGCAGCTACCGATTCCGAAGGGAAAGACTACCAGACAGCAGTCAAACCCTCACTCTAGCCTGCAGCAAAGGAAAGGCCAGCGCGCGCCCCATGGTGGTCAGCCAAGTGGAGACTTGACAGCAAGAACAGCGGATGCAAGACCAGCCCAGGGCACCCCATGGTGGTCAGCCAGTGGAGCAACCCCGAGCAACAGCCAACACAAAATGCGGTTCGCTAATTGGAAGACAGACCCAGAGTTCCCCAACATCCAGGCGCACAACTGTGCTCAGCCCGGCCACACATCCAAGTAGAGCCGCAGTCAGCTGCGAGTAGCAACAGCTGCCGATTCAGGGAGAAAGTCAAACCTTTACTCCGGCCCGCAGCACTTCATTGCCATGGACCCTTCCAATCAGGGTGTCGCGGACGATACCGTGTAGAGGGCGTTTCAGCACGCTCACCTGATTTTTTGGCCTTCATGCTGGTCAGCGGCGGCGGAATTGCGGGGCAACAGACAGGCTTGCGTCAACTCCTCCTCATCGACTCCCACGGAGATAATGGGCGGTGGAAGCATCATACCAAGCAGGCCCAGTGGGCACCTGGCATGCATGTTGACGTTGACATGTTGGGTGCCTGCTCGCAGGTTTTAAGCTTGCCGCTGAAGCCAGTACAGCTCTGGCTTGTTACATGTGTCAGAGCATCAAATTTTCTTTGTGATTTGTGTGAGTGCCCAAAACAGGTTCTGCTTCAACCAGGCTCTTTTAACCTGCGCCGTTAGGGCACCGTGCACGCCGCCCCGTGAGGGCTGCAGATGGAAACATTGGTCCCTCCACTGAAGAGGCCGAAAGAGCTCACTTATGGGATCACGTCACTTCTGCTGATCGTATCTCTCAGTCCCTTCTTGATCTGCAATTGCGAGCGCACCAAAATCCTGACGCCGCCCAGGAAGGGGTTGCCCCTCGAGTGGATCCGTCCTTTGAGCACAAAGCGGACATACAGCAAGCTGCGTGATTCAAATCTGTGACCCCATCATCACGCAGTGCTTGCGGCTGCCTGGAGTCTTGGGCTTCTCTAAGACGGACAGCATCGCACTGCTCAAGGATCGGCAAAGCATTCTCACGCAACCAAGCATTAAGATTTGCCTCAACCTCACTCCAAGATGTGCTCGGCTGCGTAGCACCCGGCACTGCAGTTGACGGTGCAGCTGTCGGGTCTGGTTCATCATCGCTTGTGTCTCCTTCGGTGGCTTGCTGCTGCACGTTAAGGTTAGGGTCTTTCTTAGGGATCTCGGCGGGTTCGGGACTTATCCTATCCCCAGGAACCGAAACCCACCAACCTTTATATGCACGCTCACCGTGGGTGCACTTGCTGCTTCTATCTCAACAGTTTCACGAGGTTGCGACGCTCTGCTTCGTCGGCAGCAGAAACAGATGCATATCATCACAAGGATCGTGCTTTGGGCAAGTATCAGTCTTGCTTGCGGGTGATTAACCATGAAGTCATGGATCAAGAAAATCGCGGATTGGCTTCTCCTGGACCTGTTAATACGGATACTATCACCAAGACTACAACTTGCACACCTACACCAGTTTATAGCGATTCTCTTTCCAGTCCTAAGCTAGTGCCTGCAAGCTGCCTCCACCTGGCCAGGCAAGACCGAACACTTATCAAGGCCAGCAGCCTTTTGCCAGCAATTAAGTGACATGATGGCAATTTGGTGAAGCCGACGGCAATCTCCAATCATTAGGTTGAGTGCCAAGGGTAGCGTAGCCAAGCGGCAATTTGCCGGAGAGATGCCAAGCTGTGCCTTAAGCAAAGAGGCCTAAAAGATGTTGTGTGCGTTCCAGATTTCTATAAAAGTTGTTGTTTCTTGGTGCCAGTTGGGAACGGTGCCGCCTTGGACCTCGCCTTGCACCTAATAAACCCGTTACTTCAAGAAGTGTCCAAGTGCTTAACGTCAGGCTCTACCAAAAAGCTCAGGGCTTACAAGGACATGGCACCTCTTCAGAAAAGTTACTTCTTCTTCTACTAAACAGATCCAATCAACCGAAACTTTGAATTTGCTTTTCAGGTGCCTCTCTAGTCCTCCAAGCGCTTCACAGGTTCTGTGCACAGCATGTCGTCGACGTGCACCATGCCTGCCCCAGCTGGCTTTGGAATTCTGAACAAGACAGACTCTGCCTCCACAGCCGTTTTGATCTTCTGCATGAAATCCCGGAACCAGCCGACCCGTCTCTCTGCCCCGGCAACATGCGTAGCAGCCTGCACCATTGACCATTCACTTTGGTCAGGGTTGAGGTCGAAAACAGAAAGCCTGCAACCGCTGCAAAGTGTAGCACTCACTAGGGTAGCAACCTTGATGCTCCAGCATTGAGTAAGAAGAATTAATTTGGGCTGGCCAATGAAGTTTATGGGCTTTCTTCCGCCCAGCCAACTTTGGAAGCAGAGCCGTAGCTGGTTCCCCGGCGCCTAAGAACACTAAATCCATCCTTATGTTGCAACCGAATTGTGCAAACGAACGTGTCATGCCCTTGGACTCGTTCTGTTCCGGCACGCTTGTTTTCCATTCCTGAGAACAACGGATCAACATAAGGATAAGCCTGCTTTCGCACTTAGAATCTTGTGGATCCACATCCGGTGGCGGTTCCAAGGTGACTGAGCCACTTACCATGACGTTGCCCGCCAACTGAACCTGCGCTGCCACAAAAGTGCCAAAAGCGGGTACCATAGCGCCAGTGACTGTGTCAAGTTGTTTCAACCACGTGCAAAATCTCATTCAAGGACTTCTGCCGATGAGAAGCAATACACCAAACAATTTAAAGCTTGCAACCGCTGCAAAGTGTAGCACTTACCAGGGTATCTACCTTGATGCTCAGCATTGGGTAAGAAGAATTAATTTGGGCTGGCCAATGAAGTTTATGGGCTTTCTTCCGCCCAGCCAACTTTGGAAGTGCCAGAGCCGTAGCTGGTTTCCCGGCGCCTAAGAACACTAAATCCATCCTTATGTTGCAACCGAATTGTACAAACGAACGTGTCATGCCCTTGGACTCGTTCTGTTCCAGCACGCTTGTTTTCCATTCCTGAGGAGACAACGGATCAACAAAAGGATAAGCCTGCTTTCGCACTCAGAATCTTGTGGATCCACATCCGGTGGCGGTTCCAAGGTAACTGAGCCACTTACCATGACGTTGCCCGCCGACTGAACCTGCGCTGCCACAAAAGTACCAAAAGCGGGTACCATAGCGCCAGTGACTGTGTTAAATTGTTTCAACCACGTGCAAAATCTTATTCCGACTTTCCACGGTTCCTCCAAACCAACCTACATCAGTTAGCAGTTTCCATCAAGATGATGAATTGCGTTGCTGCCCTTAGCTGGAGCAGGATTAGCTTACCTAGAGGCTTCACCATCAGAGCATGGCAAACTGCTTGCAAAGTGGAATGGTCGAACTCCAGGTGCTTAGCCTTGACGACGCTTCTAAGGTTCTGCGCCGCAGAAAAGGTCCTACTCAAGATTTCGAACCTGAGCCTGCCATGTTTTGGTTCCAATCGAGGGGTCTGTGCCATTATCCGAACCTCCTCCAACCTGAGCGCACGTAGCTTCAAGCTTATTGTAAATTTCCGGTTGTTCTGCACAAGAGTGTTAACTTCACTGTGTATGTTTGTACGTTGTTGCATGCGGTTATGTCGTTCTTCAACTGCCGCCGTAAATCTCCAAGGATCTTATTGTCAATCTTCTGCTGCAAATTGTTCCGTGTACTAAGACCTCAATTTAAGTTGCTGCGTAAAGGTTGCACCTGCAAACGGAGTGGTTGTACCTGAAGCAGAAGCACTGGAGGCAGTGTCCATGCTGCAGTGGTGCCTCGGCTCATAACCTGTCGGTTATGACCCGGAATGGTGTGAGTGCTGCTGGTGTTGCAGGATGTGCTGGTATGTGGAGTGGCCCTGGACTTCCTGTGGTATCGGTCGCAGGACTGAAACAAGACTTTTTGCCTATCCTGAACAGAGGAAACCACACAACCAATCCCACACAGGGTCCTACGCTGGTGCCGGTGCCCTGAAACCCTGAACAGTGGGGTGTTGGGCTACAACAGATGACAAGCAAGTAGGATGGGATTAAGGTTAACCCAACCCTTCGTGTTTTGTCCCACCTGGAGAACGAGATGAAGTTTATATGATGGAGTCGAGATAATGAGATGTTGAATGGAAATGCCAATGCCCACGTGCAGTGAATGTTGCTGCTGCAGCTGCTGCTGCAGCTGCAGCTGCAGCTGCTGCTGCTGCTGCTGCAACCTTCTTTCCAAACAAATCCCAAATGTCGTCCTCTGAAACTCTCGCCAAAACAGCCAGCTTCTGCCAACACGCAAATATAGCAATGACAAGGTCTTCTTGATGCTCCTTGATGCAATGAAGTTGCAAGTATGTCTGAATGTGCAAGCTGTTGCTGCAGTTGCTTGTTGATCAGCTCTGAAGAGCAATGTCAAGTCCCTCGAAACTCCAAGGAGAACCCAAAGATTAAAGGGACCCTTGCGCTCACACTCTTTTGTTCTTGAGCCAATTCATGCATCCAACGCATGTCTTCGCATGACTGAACATGGAGTATCTGGCATGTTTCAAACATTGCCCCAGCACAAATTAACGATGTCTCCGCAGTCCCATGCAATGATTATCACAAGCTCTGACAAACCCTCTTCCGAGAACCAGGACTTGAACCCTCAACTTCCCACCAACAGGCTGCGTCAATCGGGGTGCAAGTGGTCGAGCATTTGTTGCTCGGTGAGGGGTCCGCTGGTTGCGCCACGGGTGCATGTCCACAAGGTTTCGAGTCTCGTCCTGCAACGTGCCTCGCCGCGCAGCGTGCGTGATGTTTGCAAATTCGCAGCTTTTTTCAGTGTTCTGTTGCGTGCTGCGTGCCATGGTATTGTTGCTTGCAGAGAGCGTAGGGGGGACTTGTGCTTTCGTTTATCGGTTTCAGCACAGAAAGCTGGTAGATCACGACGCGTCGCAGGTGATGGTGTTTTGCGTGAAGTTGCCATGCTGGGATTCCAGAGAATATTCCGAAACCACCAAGATCAGAAATAAGTACGAACCATTATTTGAACAACATAATAACCTGCGACGTGCATTTTGGTGCATCGTCTTGCTGACTCTTCCGCTTGACCTTTGAAGGAAGTAGGAATAGTATTGATGTGAATAGGGAGGCAACCAACCCCCCCCCCTGCCCGGTAAATCACATGCCCCTCGTGCTTTATGCAAGTACCCCCCCCGCCCTCGACTCCAAGTCCTGGGCCTTCACCACCCTCAGGGCGCAGATGGGGAGGTGGTTAGGGGTTTGGGCACATTTTCAAGCAAGCTCAAACCCCCTTTTTGGGGGTTGGGGTTAGGGGTTTGCGGCGGAATTCAAGCAAGCCCAACCCCTTCTCCTTTGGGGCTGCATCTCAAGCAAACCCAACCCCCCCTTCTCGGGGTCCACATGGGCGGGTTGGGTTTAGGGGTCTGGGGCTGTATTTCAAGCATGTCACAGTCGCAAATGGAAAAAAAGTGACTGCTGCATTGAGGTTCGTCCAAACTTTCATGAAAGAGCGCGAGTCCGATAGTTGTCACGAAACAAGCTTTTGAACCAGTTGTGGTTGATGGTTTTTTTGCAACGACGAAGCACCTCAAGCAGTTGATAGCAGTTGCATCGTCAGCATGTTTGTTTATAGCTTCATGCTAATAGTTGTCCAGCCATGTCTTGCGGAGGTTGATCTGTGTGTTGCATTCGCGTAGAAAGTGCTGTTCAACATTGCCACATTAGTGCAGCATGGATGGACACCAAAGGCATTGGCATGTTTGTGGGCACTTAGTTTTTTGTGGATTGTTTGATGTGACAGCAGGTCCCAGCCGGGGATGACATCCCTGGCTGGTCGAGAGCTGCCGTCGGATTTGGTGTCGCAGGCGTGCAGCTATTGTATTGCGGAGCAGGAGAATATTGGACTCCATCGAACACTTCGTCGCACGACGGATATATTACGTGGATTTGCATGTGTTCCTCATGCCCGCATTTCATGCAATCCATTTCTCACATTGCCGTGCAGAGCTGTGTCATAACCTGAGTATGGCCCGAACCACAATGAAATATATATATATATATATGTGGATTGCATTGCGAAATTATGCGGAAGATCAGGTATCCAATGTGACCATGGGCCAGCTTTTCTACGTCTTGAGCCACGTTCAGAAATTGAGTGTGGCGCCTCGAGTTGTTCGCGGGTTCGGGCTTTGGACTTGCATGCGCGGAGCGAATTCATGATTTGATACTTGCAAGCACAGGCGCAGGCCCCAGTAACGGCACAGCGAATCCTTGCTGACAACCCGCAAATTTGCCATGCCGAGCACTCAGCCCTCCGCATTTCCAGCACAGGTTTCCAGTTCGATTGGCTTGTGAGATCGCACCTGTTTGTTAACTTGTCAGCGCCCTTGTGGGTTCATGTGACAGTGTATTGAAAAACATGTTTTGCCTTCGTGCTTCTTTCCATCACCATCATGTGTCGGCCGTGTTTTTGCTGCGTTTGCCGCATGGAGCCTGAGGCCCTGATTCACGCCGAGTGTTTGGCCGGGATGTTGGACGAACCTGGTTTGCCAGCTGGCTAGAGCAGATCGTCATATATGCATATCGAAACAGTTCAGAAAAGTTGGAAGTACAAGCCATAAAACACATCCACATATATCTGTATAGATATAGATATAGATACAGATGGTACATAGATACACATATACGTATACATGAATATGTACATGTACCTGTACGTAAAAACATAATACGTAAATGCATAGATACATAGACACATCAAGTTCTTCATTGTGGAAAGACAAAGTTCAGCAATTGCTCCGCTTTGAGGCCCTTGAGCGCCGAGGAGTTGCAGCGTGCCAAGGCCAAGGCACGACAGCTCCAGGACTTTGCCTTCCACACGCTAAACGTTCTCTGTTCCGCGTTCGTGTTCTATCCTGCTCTTTTGCGTTTCTACTGTCTTTTTGAGCAGGACGAGATGTCGCAGCACGAGTGGTCTGCTCAGTGTGCCGAGAAACATGTCAGTTTTCGAAAGCAGAAGCTGTTTTGCGTCACGTTTTACGCATCTGCAGTTGCTTGTGTCCACTGCGTAATGCCTGATATGCCTGATTGTGCCCTTGGTTTGAGGCTCCCGCCGCCTCCTCCGCCTACTGAAGAGGCACCAAATGGGCCAGGCCTTGCAGTCAATGCGGACCAGAAGGCGCAGCGCAGGGGGCTAACCTGCAACAAGGAAACCAAATGCCAGATGCAACAGCGTCTCTTGGTGCAGGCACAGTTGATGCAGAAGCTCATGCAACTTACTCCAGACCAAATCAGTCAGCTGTGCAAGCCTCAGTCACCTTTCTTTGCTGAAGGCGCCACGCGATAGCACATGATAGCAAGTGGCATAAGCAATCCGTCAGCAAGGCCTCAGACCACGAAAGTTCAACTGCTGAGCTTTCTGAAGCAGACCAAGAGGTCGTAGATGCGAGATCGTCTTACAACTGTGCAATAAAGAGTTGCACGTGACCATCTGCTCTTGCCGGTGCAACCAGGTCCTGTCCTGCGTGAAACTAAAAGGAGCGTGTGCAATGACCTCGGGTTGGTAGTAGCTGCAGGTATTGACCCCTTTGCCGCAAGGAGTCGCATGTTGCAACCTGCGAGCATTTTGCTATTGAAGTTTGGCTCAGCTAGGCAGCTGCACACAAGTTTCAGAACGAAGGCCAGAAACCGGCTGCACAACAGTAGCACTTGTGAAACCACTTGTGAAACCACACAGAAGTTTGAGACTTCCTAGAATTGCTAGCGCGCGAATCAACATGCAACTGAGGATGTCCATGTCATCTTGATTGAGCAATTGGTGATCTCCTGGTTGAGTTATTCTTTGTGTGTAGGGCATGTATGGTACCCAGTATGGTACCCAGTTTGCACTCAAGTTTTGTGGTCAGAGTTTAGGTCGCGATACTAGCACTTTAAAAACGTTAGATTCTCGGTAGCCAACTTGTGTATATTGGCCATTAGCTAAATGAAGCTTAAGCATCCTAGCCACATATACATATATAATATGTATATCTATATATGTATTTGTATATTCGGACATGTTACAACTCGTACAAGGTATCTGAAGCACATAGACAGGAGAGTTTATAAGAGGATCCACGTACTTTTTCGAACAAATTCACATATCAGTATTTTTTATTCGAGGTTGGTCCATTGGGGCGGGGTGACCATACATACACTTAAAGTATACATGAACATGTATATAGCTAGATATAAAGACAGAGAGAGAAGCGAGAGCCGGGAGAAGAATGCAATAGAAGTAATTGTACTTTTAGCAGCAGAATAGAGTTGTACCTTTTTGTGATAGGTTCAGACTCACAAAAAACTAGCAGCAAAGCAATATTTTCCTAAAGCAGCGTTGATGACGCTCCCTGACAATGGCGCTGGGTATCCGCGACACCAGGCCGGTTTTACTCTCAGAGTGTCATGAGTGGGTAGGTCAAATTTTGCCTGGGCATGTTCCCCCCTTGCGAAGGGGAAGCCGGCCCTCCGAACTGGAGTCTCGGCTGTTGTAGTGTTTTTTTGGTGGACTGACGCACAAGCATTCTGCTGCTGGCGCGCGGCCTGTGATCGCGCAGAACCCTGCAGCCCGGAAGCCTGTATCCAAGGGTGCCAGGCCCAAACCTCTTCAGAACCCGAATGCCACCAGATTGGGGCAAAGGGGTCCATAGGGCCAACTAAGGTCCAAGTTCCACAGGCGGTGAGGTGTTTGGGGGACCTCCATCAGGTCTCTAATACATCCCAAGGGTCCATAGCAGGTCCGTAGTCGTTTAAAAAACCGATGTTTTTGACCGGAGTTTTGGGGGTGAGGGCACCATGGGCAGACACCGGGCCTACCAAGGTCCAAACTTGGGGGCCAGTTGTTTTACCCCCAAATGGCTTGAAGCCTGGGGCCTCCTCGGATTGCGAGATAAGAAAAGGCTTCCAAGAACCCTGCAAGCACCAGAAGGTGGACCCCAAGCCAGGCTCAGTTCCAAAGTGTGTTTTTAACCTGTATGTCGAGGCGATGATGCCCTGAATGCCCTTGTCACTTCCTAAGGTCAGAGGGTTGTTCTCCACGGCCTCGAAAAGTCTCCGGAGCTGAATGGCCACCGTGGTGTCATCGTGAGATGGAGAGAGGCACTGGGGTTCTAGGCAAAAACAGCCCTTATAGGGATCATCATTTTGTATTTTTTGGGGGCTCTTAAGCAAATAGTAGTTTCCATTGTTTGCTGTTACCGAGTGTGTATGTGCCAAGCCATCCCGGAGCTTTTGTGCAAGCTGTCCTGTCGAATCGGCTGTCAGTTCTGAAGTTGCAGGACACTGGTCGGTATGCTGTTCGAGTTGCTGGGAAGGAGCAGAACACTGCATGCTTTGGCTTTCTTCGATGATATTTGCAAACGCATATCCTGCCAGTGTCATCGAGGATGGTTTGGCAGAGTGGTTGGGACGTCAATGCCGTTTGTTCTGTGCCATTTGCGTCGGCCAGGAGATCGGGTTGAGACCCGAGAACCTCAAGCCTGCGGAGGGAGGGGCGGTCGCCGCAGAGCTGGCCAAGAAGCTGAACCGAAAGGCCAGCCTCGGCCGGGGCTTCTTGCATACTTTCAAGCCAGATCTGCCATGAGTCTAGTGTCTTGCTTTGCTTTGTTCGGTTGCGCGAGAGGTGGGGGAGGGAACCATGTACAATCCGGCTGCTCGGCGTTGCAAGCGTCTTTTGGAATGTGGCGAAAGGCGACAAGGTTTGCTTGGATGGCTTGCAGCGGAGATGCCTTCGAAGCTCAGGAAGTGTATTCCAGAGTCCCAGGCGCTGGACCAAGGATGACGCAGCGTCCCTGGGCCTCGTCCGCGCATGGCAGAGTTGCACAGCGGACTGTGACAACATCGAGGCATTGGGTTGGCCAAGTGAAAGCCGGGCGACAAGCCGTGCACCAAGACCAGCAGGTCATCATCCAAAGCACCACGCATCCTGGCGCATGCAACCAGGTTCAATGACCGCATGAGTTTCTGGTTGCCGAGGTCATCATTCGCGCTGAGGATGGGGCAGGAGCTGAGGCTGTGTGTGTGACAGTGCTGCCAGTGCGGATGTGGTTCTAGCAAGTCTGGTAGGCCTTCCTAGGCAAATTGATGACAGGCAGAGCCTTTGCCACTTTGGTTTGGTGACCGCGGCCAGTTTCTCAGTGTTCAGTTGCACTGCACAGCCTTTGCTTCCAGCGTTGAAGCGGAAAATTTTGTGCGGACATTCCCTGATGCTGTCGGTTCCTGCTGCTTTTCACTTTAAGTCTCTAAGCTTGATGCTCGGCATCAAACATCAACCTACAGAAGAGTGCAAGTTCACGGCCCAGGCTTTGTGAATGCTGCACCTGTTGATGTGGCTTTGTTGATCGCAGATGCCTTTGCCTTAGTGGGATTGCGTCAGAAGCATGGAGACATGATACGAAAAGAGAAAACATCTCAGTCGACGCAGGACATCGTGTTCTCCGCCAGGGCATGCTTTCCATCCTCAAACGGATGTATCTGGGGCAGAGGGTCCCTTCTTCTTTCTCTCAGTCTCTCTGTTCTGTGTCTTTCTGCTTCTTTCTCTGTCTCGGCCTCTCCCTCTCTCTGTCTCTGTCTCTCGCTCCCTCTCTGTCTCTCTCTCTCTTTCTGTCTCTGGCTCTCCATACCGCTCTCCCTCTCCTTCTCCTTCTCTCCTTCTCTCCTGCTCGTTCCTCTTTCGAACAAGCTGGACGTGACAGAGAGATAAAGTTGTTGCAGGGCTGACCGGCATTTCTTCCAACCCCAAAAATGTGCGGCAACACCACCGACAAGCTTCCAAAGACATGTCAATCAACATATTTGCCGACTACCAGTTGAGCCGGAGTCCCGAACACGAAGGAAACTGAATACCGGGGGTTCAGAGGCATCTTTCTCTTGCAGAGTCGACAGAATGGAATCGCACGGATATTCTTCAGTTTTGCTTGCAAAGGTGGGCGATGATCCAAGCCAGTGGCAAGTTGCTTTGGCCAAGACATTGGCTGCTTTCCCTGCGGCCGCAGGGCGCTTGCGTCAGGCGCACGCTCTGGCCAGGTTGCTTGTTGCCATCTGCACTGGTTTGTGGCTGTCTGGTGCAGGTGAAGTTGGAGGGCAAGCAGTTGGGACCCAAGCACATGGGGCATGAGCGGTTGCTGCCAAAAGCAGTGGGGACCTTCAGGAGCTGGCAGATCTATTTGAACAATGCCGGCGTCCCCTTCACCCTCGCTTCGGTGCCTCCCTGTGGCTTGCCTGGGGCAGAGGTGGCTGCATCCATTCGGCATCACCCCTAAACCCTAAACCCTAAACCCTAAACCCTAAACCCTAAACCATGAAAAGAAGGCCCTCTAAATTGGCCTTGGTCGCAGGTCTTGCAGTTGGCTTGTCAAGATGATCAATGTGGCTTTTTCGATGTGGGACAAGCCGACAGCCTGCATCTCAGACCTCATCCGCACATGTTCTCTTGTGCCAGAGTCATCTGAACAGTCATTTGCAACCCTTGGCAGCATGATGACACTATCTTCGAAGCAGCGTCGTGCAACAAAAACACAGCAGTGGAACCTGCTGGCGAACCATGAGCCCGTCTTCTCAAGACGCACCATGCGTCATTCGATTGCCTAGCGGGTTGTTGGCTTTGTCGTGAGTCATGGCTACGTCCAACGTGACCAGCCGTGCTGCAATGTGCACTCGAGAAAGCGACGCATGTGACCAGAGTACAGAAAAAGAAGCATAGTCGAATTGACCATATTGAAAGCAGTAGGAGGTCATAGACAGGATGTCTCACATCCATAACAGACTGCGCATGTCAGCAAGTGTCTACGATCCAGTCTCCTTTGCTTGTGGAACAAGTGTAGGGTCTCGAGGAGCTTGGTCGGGATATGTCGATGTTTGGCTTGAGGTCCTCTTATCGTGGAGGACCGTTCAGGGCCGCACAGGGTCGCACTGCCCAGGTGAAGAAGAGCCTCTTCTGCGCGTCAAGCTGATCCACGAAGAGGGAACTGCACGAGGCCTGTTGCACAACATGTGTAAGTGCTGGTTGCCCTGTGGAAGATGCGCTATTCACGCGAGGTCTTGTGGGCATCTCTTTCAACCATGCAGCTTGGCGCGGGCTGTCGAAGATTGGGCATGACAGCGAGATGTGTTTGTGTAGGAAGCTGAGTGTATGAGAGGTGGGTTTGAGAAGTTTTTCCTTCTTTTTAGTCAGGTGCGGAGTTTGGCAAGCTTTGGGTACACATACTTCATGACGAAAGAAGCTGAAACCATTAAATGTGTGCCATTTTTGGCACAAGCGGCTTGATCCAAATGTGCCTGGGGTAGTGAACCTCCTCATTCCCTGTGGGATGTCACAGGACGAGCAACCAACCTTGGCACCATCGGACAATTCAATAGGTGTTCTATCAATTTGAACTCCGTATGCACTGGGTATTTCATCACGTAAAATTGTGTGTTTGGTATTTCGTTCGTTTGTACAGTTTTCATCACGTAATATTGCGTGTTTGGTATTTCGTTCGTTTGGACAGTAATGGGATCCGTCCTTAATACGTAAAAAATTGCATGTTTTGCATTTTTCTTTAGTATATACAAGTCGTATTTAGTATTTGACCAATAATTGCTTGGTGAAAGTAATACTTATCTAGAAGAAGTATCTATGGGTTCACCTAAGCTTAAACCATGATAAAGGTAAGAAACATGTGTGTATATCCGGTAGATCATGTGGCGGTGCGAGCTTTTTGTTTTATGTACATGTGTATATGTGTTTCTTTGTTTAGTTATATTCCTTGGTAAGGGTGTATTAGTTTCATATTCACAGTTCGTTTAAAGCGCTTTCGCGGCACCTGGTTTTCGTTCAGGTGCTGTGCGACATTTTCGGTCTGGCCGACTTCCTTCGGAGGATGCACGCAGAGCTGGACCCGCTGGGAAGTGACGGCTCATCTTGTGATCACTGTCTCAGGGCCTTCGTAGGCCTTCTCCTTTTGTCCTAAGAACGTCTTGGAGGTTGGGTTCTCGACAAGTCTCTCAGCAGGTAGGGCGCCAGCGTGGGTTGTGGACGCGGATCCGGCCGAAAATCGACAGGTTGGTGCAACTGCCAAACGGTTGAAGCCCAACTGAGTTCGAAGGAACTGGGGGGTTGGGTGCCAGATCGGGGCATGGACAGTCAAAATTCAGTCTGCTGCGGAGGGGTGGGCAGATGCAATGAACGGATCGGGGGTTTGATGATGACATTGTTTATGATGGATGGGTCGATGTCGGGTGCGGTCTGTTTGCAGAGAAATCGCTTAGGGCCTAACTTAGGGCCTTAACATTCCGTGCACTCTGATTCAGATCCTGACTCTGTCTTCAGGAGGGTTCCCAGGCGCCGGCTGTGCCCAGCCACGCCAGAGGTGCCGCACAGAAGGCCTTCGAGGAAGCCGACAAGGACTCGCAAGAGGTCCGCTTGGGCAAGGTCTTCTGTGCTTTTCTTGCAGTGCAGAGCTGCTCCCAGGCCAGCCGCAGCTTCGAAGAATGGTGGCCATCCTGGCCGCGTGCCCAGGAGCCGCAAAGAACACAGAACCTCAAAAGACGAGCTTCGTTAGCATAGAACAAACAGCAGAAACAGCAAATCTGAAAAAACACCTTCTCCTATGACGTCATGACGAATTCTCGGCCAAGTAGTGTCCTATCGACCAAGGGAGAGGATGTCTCGCAGGTAGCAAGCTCACGTCGTTTCTGTTTTCATGTCACCGGTTGAGACGTACTGCTACTGGCGATGTGCGGGAAACAAATGATACCTCCTGAACGGGTATGGCTTCGTCATGTGTCTTCCATGCATGAGAGCAGTGGCAAAAACAGCGGGCTCAGGGTCGTTGGGCTTATTGCCGCGAGCAACGACCAAGAACACCCTTTGTTGCAGGAGCGGTGGTCCTTCATAGCTCGCAGGCTGGAAAGACTTAGACCTGGAGAGTCTGACCTGCAGAGACCCGTCGCCACAAGCTCCGTTGAGATCTAATAATACTAATAGCAATGGGCAAAGTTTTAGTAATTGGAATACTAATACAAATCATACAAATACTAATCATAATCATAATAGCCAAAGTGATAAGAGGCTCCGCAGTGGTCTCCGTGGCCGTCCAGACGGCGCTGCCACACTTGCCTTCGCTGCACCGAAGGCGTGGAGACCCAGGTTCTGTCAGCTTCGAGGCGTTTAGGGTTTAGGGTTTAGGGTTTAGGGTTTGGTGTTGCTTTTCGCGGCGGCCAGCAAGGCTTGACAGGCTTCATGCGCTTCACCGGATCCATCAGAATTGGTAGTGGCGAAAGGGCATGGGCACCTTTGTCACATCAATGTATGTTTCAGCATGGCTGTGAAAACATCGGGTTCAGAGTCGAGAGTGACCTGTTGGAGCGGGGGGGGGGGTCAAGACATAGACCTGCTGATGTATGCTGCTGCTCCTGTTGCCTTCGGGAGTTTTTGGCCAAACCCAAACATTGATAACATCGAATCTGTTGTTTGGAGGGTTGTCTTTCAGTCAGCGGGTTTCTGCCTAGCAGGTTCAAAACAAAACTTGAATCAACTTGAACAGAAGTGAATGTATGAACGTAGAAAAGTCCCAACATTGTGAACATTGTTATTATTATTATTATTATGACTACTATTATTCTTTTTCTATTAGTATAAGTTCAAATATAATAGAAATTATTGTTATAATCATAATTGCTATTAGTATTCTTATTATTGTTTTTATGTGTATTATTCGTACGGTTGCTATTACTATTTTTATGATTATTGTTAGTATTATTCTTATGCTGTATTATATTATATTATATGATACTATAACATTTTATGTTATATTGCATTATATTGTATGATATGATATTGTCTTGTATTACATTACAGTACATTTTCTTACATTATGTTTGTTATATTCCATTAAATGTGTTTATATTATATTATACAATGTTGTTATTGTTATTGTTATTGTTATTGCTATTGCTATTGCTATTGCTATTGCTATGGTTATTGTTATTGTTATTGTTATGGTTATGGTTATTGTTATGGTTTTTGTTATTGTTATTGATATTGTTATTGCTATTGCTATTGCTATTGCTATTGTTATTGTTATTGTTATTGTTATTGTTATTGTTATGGTTATGGTTAAGGTTATGGTTATGGTTATTGTTACTGTTATTGTTATTGTTTATTGCTTATGTTATTGTTATTGTTATTGTTATTGTTATTGTTATTGTTATTGTTATTGTTATTGTTATTGTTATTGTTATTGTATATGTACACGCGCATAATTACACGGCGTTCGCTTGCCAATTCCATGCTAATACAAGAACTGAAGCGAGCGTGTGAATCTGCAAGAAGCCCCGAAAAGCCCCTATAAAAATGCAAGAATAAGGCTTTGGCGCCATCATTATTCTGTGCAAAATGCGCTTTATATTTTCGTATTATTATTGGGGTCTTTGGTGGAAACTCCGGAAGGTTAGACGGTTAGACAGGCGGTTGGGGTCCCGAGTGAGCGAGGTGAACAACAGAACTAACCCAATGGTTAGGGAGGCTGGGGCTAAGAGCTGGCAGCGATGTCCGATGCTTTCGAACGCTAGCGCCGGGCAGTCCTGTATGTAGGAGCAGTTGTGATGGGATGTCCTCCTTCCCTGCTTTTTTTCTCATGCCAAAGCTTTGGCACCTTGTCAGCCATGGTGTGCAAGGTTTTTTGAAGGTTTCTTTGACTTCATACTGTTCCCACATCGCAGAAGCAGCAGGTGCTTGACGGAGTTTCGGCCAGTTGCAGTTTTTGAAGGAATGCCTTTTCCTGTTATCTGCCACTGTTCTCAATGGAAGGAAAAGCTCGCCGCGTTGAAGGCGGAGAACCCAGGTGCAGTGTGCAGTGTTTGCAAGGATGGGCGCATCTAGAAACATCAGAAACAAGTGAGGTTTCCCAAACTAGGGGTACCGGAAAGGGGGTCCGCAGAAAAGGGAATCCTACTATTTGGGGCCTACGTTTGGGATCCATTATGTTCGTAAACCCCCATGTGCCTCTCCTTGCATGTTTTCTGGAGGCTCCTCCTCGCTGGAGGTGCTGCTGGCCTTCCTGGCACAGCGTGCGCGTCGACTGGGCCGTGGGCGCCGGGTCTTGGCGTGGTGCCGAGCAGAACCCTAAACCCTACACCCCAAACCCCAAACCCTAAATCCCAAGCCCTGTTTTGCAGAAGGGCTGGGCTGCAGGTCACCAAGGACTACCGGGCGGCGCTGGAGGAAGCGGCACCGGGCCAAGGCGAGAGTGTGGCGTAAGCTGGCCGCGGAGGACGCTTTTTTGACTTCCGCAGGACTGGACCGGCTTTTTGCCAACGTGGTGACCCACGGCCTTTCTTTCGACCTCCCTGAGGATTGGATCTTTCTGTGTGTTCCCTTCGATTGCTGGAAGAGAGTGAAGAGCTGCCAGGATCCCGACGAGCCTGACTGGATGCAACAGGCCCTGCTTCACCTCAAATCAGGCTTAATTTACTGAGGGCTTCATGAAGGCTTAATTAAGGGCTACATGAGGCTGAACCCTAAACCCTAAACCCTAAACCCTAAACCCTAAACCCTAAACCCTAAACCCTAAACCCTAAACCGTCATGCTTCATCCAGGCTGAATCATCTTTCATGATTAATCCAGGCCGGGGCTTTCCGAAACAGGTTTGCCATTCCATGCGCCGGGCTGTCGACGCCGCATCCTTGAGCAACTTGGAGCCGATGTGCGTCCGAATTCTTGGGGGTTTAGGGTTTAGGGTTTAGGGTTTTGGGTTTAGGGTTTTGGGTTTAGGGCTTTTTGTGCCAGTCGTTGAGGACTTTCGCTTCTAGTTTCCTAGTTTCGATTCGTTTCGATGCAGCCATGGTTGACAAAACCGAGGATATGTGCGATGGCAGAGTGAGCAGGAGCCAGACTTCGAAGGTGTACTGAGTAGACTCTTGTGCAGTGTGAGATAGTACGATGTTTTCAGTACCGTTTTCGTGAGCATCTCTGATGAGACAGTCTCTAAGCTTCACAGGACCACTTCGCGGGCCTGCCGAATATGTTTGGCAGCCTTTGCTGCAACACTTGGGGGCGAGCCCTGTCCGAGCTCAGCTTTATCGAGGCCCCGCGGGACTCCGTGGCTGACTGCCACAGTACGGGGACTTTGTGGACTTTGTGCCCTAGTGTCGGAAGCCTACATTTCACGTTTAGTCTCTATCAGGAGGATGACGGACTGTTAGCTCCAACCACCGTATCGCATAGCCCCTAAGTCACCTCCGTCCTCAAGACAAGACGCGAGCAGCAACATTGTGGCGAACAATTCCTGAGTACAACCATTGGCACGCACGGAGGTCCCGTTGGCCTCTGTTTCGTGCACGGACGTTAACGACTAGGCCACGTATGTCCTAAGGTGCGTGTGACCAGTCCTGTGCAGGCTTATGCTATCGGCATGCGGAGCGTGGACGAGAGGGCTCCTGCCTTGGCATCGATCATCTTCCGACGACGCGGTGTTTAACTGTTATGGCCCTTAGCTTCGTAGTCAGCATGTCCATCATCAGGCGGAGCGCATGTGCTTCCCGTTGGATGCTGCCTATATGCAGGTGCGGGTTCTGCATAGTGGAGAGTTACTAGGAACAGCAGAAGCTTGTGCCTGTGGACAGTTGCACATCCGGGCTTGTGGTGCGTAACTACTGGCGACATGTCGTCTGAGTGTACGACGCATGCATACATGTCGGTATGCATGCATGTTCGGTATGCATACATGTGATTGTAGGGGCGTCTGCAAACGGTTGGAACTTGAGGTTAGCCAGAGCCCCTATCTGCTGTGCAGGTGCTTCCCCAGCCCTCTGGAACGCACAGGAGACAGAACCAGAATCACCGTTCATGAGAGTTCGTTCCGGTTTCTGTATATACTGAGTTTGCTTGCCTCCTGATGCAATTCACGAATCTAGCCATGAGTGTGGACTGCTTTGGGTAAGAAGGTCGTGGCTAACTTGTGCGTTGCCGCCCGTCTTATTGTAGGATCTTGCTGACCATGCCCGTCAATGACATGGAAGCTCTGCTCAAGGTGCGCGTTTAGGGTTTCGGGTTTAGGGTTTAGGGCAAGTAGTGCTGCAAGCGCAGTTGTGTTGTAGCAGACCTGGGAAATTTGCTTTGAAGGATCTGCCAGAGGAGGTCTTCGACCTGCCGCATGTCAGCGAGATGCGTCCGCATGCTGAGCTGCAAGCTGCCAGCGAGTGCCACGGAACTTTGGGTGTGCTAGGTAGAGTTTTAAGGCACTCATGCATTTCGAGTTCCCCTTCCTGGACCTGCGCGTTGCCAAGTCAGGATTGCATCTGTGCGCTGACTCACGTGCCGGATTTGTTTGCTCGTCTTCTCCGCTGTGTCTCCACGTCTTCATGCCGCTTTTTGTCCACTTTGTCCCTCTTCATCCTGTGATGTGGTTTAGGGTTTAGGGTTTAGGGGTTTGGGGTTTAGGGTTCTAGGGTTCTAGGATTCTAGGGTCCTAGGGTCCTAGGGTTCTAGGGTTCTAGGGTTCTAGGGTTCTAGGGTTCTAGGGTTCTAGGGTTCTAGGGTGTGGGGTTTTGAGGTTCCGCATCTGTGTTTTCTTGGTGGTGTGCGTGGGACCTGAGGTCATCGACCGCTTGAACCCGGCGGTGCAAACCCATCACATTGTCGCGCGCGTGGCCGGTGGGCTTAGCCACTTTGCTCTTGTCGCATGCGAGGCGCTCGCATCTCCAGAGCCCTGAGGCATGTGTGGGTGACTCTCTCACGGCCTGTGGCTACCCCAAGTTCCTACAGGCGCCTTTTGGCGAGATTTTGCCCTTCTAACCCTGTCCCTGCTTTTCCAGCGTTTTCCAGCATGCCCATGCCTTCAGGCGCACTTCGACCGAGCAGGCATGAATGTGCAGGCGATTGAGAAGAGTGGTTTTGTTTCCCGAGTTCAGGCGTTGACAGTTGAGAGCATCTTCGGAATAGTTCTTGACATTAGCGAAATGACCGCTTGCTGCTGCAGGTTCGGAATTTTGGTGTGGCTGGTGCAACGGCGCAGAAGTTTTCAGATCAGCCTTACTGGGAGGAGTCTGCTTCTTTTGCATTGCCCTTTGCCATTTTTCGAGCAACGCTCGTCGCCCGCAGGAGCGGAAGCTAGACGATGTGCAAGTGCCTGGGGCCCATGCTGAGCTGGGCTGAGCTGTGAGCCTTCCTTGTGTGTGAGTCTCTTTGAGGTGGCGCCCGCACTTTGTCGTAATGCTCTTCGGCACCAACGATGCAAAGTCAGGGAACTGGGACCCGGAGGCATTTGAGAAGGACGCCGGATGTCGGACGTAGTCTCCTGTGTATGAGCTCTGCAAGTGTTGTTTGCTGAACGCGAATGCCAAAGACCGTGTCTTGTGCCGATGAGTTTTGGCTCCAGTTGCGCCAACTTGGCCGCAATGAGCGAAGGTTGGGCTGTTGCATGCCACCAAAGTGATCGGAAGAGAAATGCGTGGGGTGGAGTGAGTGAGTGAGCAACGAGCGAGCGAGGGAGAGAGGAAGTGAGGGCGAAACGGCCTTGGCCCTCAAGCCCAGCAGAAGAAGAAGAAGCAGAAGAAGAAGAAGAAGAAGAAGAAGGAAGAAGAAGAAGAAAGAGGAAGAAGAAGAAGAAGAAGCAGAAGCAGAAGCAGAAGCAGAAGCAGAAGCAGAAGCAGAAGCAGAAGCAGAAGCAGAAGCAGAAGCAGAAGCAGAAGAAGAAGAAGCAGCAGGAGAAGAATAATAATAATAAGAAGAAGAACAAGAAGAAGACAAACAAGAAGAAGACAAACAAGAAGAAGAAGAAGAAGAAGAAGAAGAAGAAGAAGAAGAAGAAGAAGAAGAAGAAGAAGAAGAAGAAGAAGAGGAGGGCGAAAACGAGAGTGGCAGCGAGAGCTTCCAAGCCAGCAAATTCACAGTCAGAAGGGGCGAAAGGACCATTGGAATGAGAGCTCACATGGTAAGGGCTATTTTGATTGCTGGGGTCCTTTCCTCGCTTCCCAAGCGTATCAGCTCAATGTGTTCACAGGCTTCACCATTGTAGACGGGCATATTCCAGCTTCAGAGAACAGTTCTTTCTTGGGGTCTCTTTGCAGGTTCTGAGCAGAGAGAACGGAGTGAATAACTGGGCAAACGAAGTGCCCCCCAATGTGAAATTCTTGTTTCGCTCAATCGCACAGTGAATTCATGCAGTCGCTCACGGGTTCGCTTCTTCTTCTAAGAATCACTTCACTCAGTCTCTTCACAACTTTTGACTGGCACGCGAGGTAGTAATAGCAACAAAAGAATATTGAAAATAGTGTCCATTTCATTCACGGATTTATTGCTGCAAGTGTGAACAAGTGAGCCAGCAAACGCGAGAACAGCAATGAAGATATGTCTGCCAGAGAAATCCTCAATCATAAGCTGTGTCCTAGTGCCCCCTTACTATTATCCCTTAACCAATCGCCCAATGTTAGGATTATAAGGGAGTACAGATTTAACCACGTCGTTCTGTTACCGCCCACATCATTCACCTTTAGCACAAGGATATGATGAGGTCCTTCAGGGGCGGGGTAGGCTCGTTTGCCATGCCTGCTAGAAGATGAGGAGGACAAGAAGAAGGAGGAAAGCGACAGAAAGAGAGACCAAAAGAAAGACGGGGGTCTGCACCAATCGTTCCGCCAATTCACCGAAGCGCAAGGGAGCGATCCCCCAAGCCGGCTAAGAAGAAGGCGAATCTTTTCATGAAGATGAAGATGACGAAGAAGAAGAAGAGGAAGAAGAAGAGGAAGAAGAAGAAGAAGCAAACAAGGAGAGAGAAGGAGGGCTGGAGCGACGGAGAGAGGGAGGGAGGGAGGGAGGGACAATTGCACAAATGAAAGTGCAAACAAACAACAGAGGATACAAACATGAGAATGTGTGAAAGAAAGCTTTTGAGAAGTCTTTGAAAGGTGAAGCCCGACGGCGCGGCGATGGAAGCCGCCAGACGCAATCTGAGCCTCCTCGCGCGGCCTGGCAAAACCCAAAGAAGCACGCCACATCATTTTCAACATGGCTGCTCAGTGGACATTCGGGGATTTTTGCGCCTTCTCGTGATCTCTGCGTCTTTTCATCTCGCCGACGCTCTCACATCCTCAACTTCAGCTTGTATTACTCCAATGCTCTTTCAAGCGGCTTCGTCGTGCGGGCCAGTGGAGGCGGATGAGGCAGAGGCTTTGCGCGCCAGCCTGGCTGCGAAGCGGGCTGAGCTACGCATCACCTCGGCACCCGTCACGACAGTGCCGTGGCTGCGTGGGGGAGTGCTCATCTCCCCGATTCCCCCTCCCTACGGGGACCATAAATCCGAAATCCCTGGCCAGTGCTCAGTTTGACGCAAATCGAAACACCATGATCCCAGTTCACGAAACTGGCAGGTGGTGCTGTTCACGATCAGCGCGATCGAGTACATCGTCTACTGCTTGCGGGTTCTTGTAACAAGCTTGGTGACCTGGCTAGTCGGCGTGCCACTGCCACTTGGTGCAATGGGGGAGGGCACATTGTCGCAAGGTCTGCGTGCTGTCAACGGAAGCTTGTCCAAAGGCTGGCAGGCTACTTCTACCTCAAGCTCTCTTATGCGCCGGAGCTTTTCGAGGCCAGCTTTGCTGCACTGCCCATGGCTTAATGCAATACCCAATCTGTCCAGTGCTCGAATCCACGTAGAGGCCCCTTTTAGTGGTTGTTTTTTGTTCATGTAGTTGGCCCGCGGCGCCTGCCCGCCCGTGTGGTTTGGGGCATTTTTTGGCATGTTTTTCTGTTTCTGTTGGGGGGTCGGGGGTTTGGGGGGGGGACCCATTTTTCTTTACACTTTCTTTCGTAAAGCTTATGAGGCTCCTTAGCCTTAGTCTTGGGCCTCATTTGCAAAATCTGTGTTTGCCAAATTCCTCCCTTGAGGCGGAATATTTACAACTCGACAGAATACACGTAAGGCAAATCCAAGGTAGCAGACGCGCAGTCTGTTTTACCACAAGCGCGGTGGGGTTCAGTGGTGCTACAAAAGCACAGTCGCAACAGCTTGCCAAACCAAGGATGGCAAGCCCAGTCCCTAGAAAGGCCAAGTGATGTCGTTCTGAGGTTGGGGGCAGTTGACGCGAAATCTGCACCTACAATCACGACTTCGGACTGATTTCATTCGAAGGAAATGGCGACCAAACGCAGGTGCAGACGAAGCTAAACCCCGAGAACAAACAGTACAATCACACAACGTACAGCAAAGCTGTAAAGTTCACTGTAAAGGGCGAATTGTACGAAAGCGGGGAAAAGACAAGCACCAGTTCGTTTCACGACCCGCAAAAAAAGGGGCTCGCCAAACTAGACTTCGAGAAACACACTCAAGGCATCCTAAACCCTAAACCCTAAACCCTAAACCCTAAACCCTAAACCCTAAACCCTAAACCCTAAACCCTAAACCCTAAACCCTAAACCCGAAACCCTAAACCCTAAACCCTAATCACGCCGGAGGCCGGGCTCCACGTAGCTTCACAAAGTGGGGCGGACCCTCCTGATGAGACCAAGCAATGAACCAAGGAGTTTGAACAAAACAGGGTTTAGGGTTTAGGGTTTAGGGTTTAGGGTTTAGGGTTTAGGGTTTAGGGTTTAGGGAAGACACTTTTTCAGGACGTATGCAATTTCCGCGCCTGCCAGTGTTTCAGATTTCAGACTTGTAAATCCTCAAAACGCACCACCGGCGGTCTCGCGCCGCGGATCATGTAGTTCTGTCAGGTGTTTTGCTTCATTGTGAATCATGCTGCGTGTTTTCAGATCTATATATGCACAAAATAGCTAACCCAAAGCCAGCTTGAGTTTAGTCTTGCCTTAGAAGCAAGGTGATGTACTTGTGTACCATCGTCTCGAATGTGAACTGATCGTCAGGTTTGGCTGAGGGGCCATGTTTATGAACTCTTGCGCTTGTGCCGCTTGAGAGCATTGGCTGCCTCGGACATGGGCTCCTTGATCACCGCAGGGTCTCAGGAAGAAGTCATCCAGTTCATCGGCACATCGCCGAGGGATCCGAGGGTGATGGCTCGAACAAATTCGGATTTCCGGGGTCGTGTGTTGAGCCACAACCTGAACCCCCTGAACCTGGATGATTGGTCACCCCCCTTTGCCTGCAGCACCTGTTCCAATGCTGAGTGGGACAATGGACAGCTCCCTTCCCCGTTGGAAGCTCCTCCCAGTGCTGTGAGTTCCCAAAGAGCCCAATACCCCTTAACTAAGGAATATTCCTTAGATCATAATAAGGATCCCTTTATCATTTAAGCTCTATTCCTTAATTAAGGGGTATTGGGCTCTCTGGGTTTATACCGCGTCATGCTGCATTTTGATTAGACGGCTCTGGGGGGCTCGCTTCCCTTTTTCCCTTTCGCCCCCATGTCCATGATACTCCTCGGCTCTTGGGCAGCTTCCACGGGACAAGCCCTTGTTCGAAGCTCGTTTCGCCGATGTTCCCGACTTCAGGGACAGCAGCTTCCGAAGGTTGTCGCTGTGTGGAGCCAGAGCTAGCGAGCAGAGGCTCAAGAAAGCTACGTTGGGAGTGGTCTCCAGGCACTTGCCCGAACCGCTTGAGAGAGGAGCCGCAATCTGATGCTGCGGGGTTGCCAGGCTGTGCTCCCACGTACCCTTCTCACACCCGGACCTACTTGTAAACCTCCGTGAGACCCGCCCTAGGACCTGCCCTGGTCCCCTTCAAACCCTCCTACCTCCTGAACGCATGGCGTGCGTGGTGCTGCACTGGTGCAGGAAGGAGAATGTTCTGTTGAGCAATCACGCTTTGCAAGTGGGCCAATGGCTGTGGCTTCGTTGGCCAGCTGGCCTAAGGCAACGCCTAAACTCCGGACCGTGAAGCCCCTCAAGGCTCGAAATCCCCGATTCTCAAACGTTCCAGCCAGACTGCTTTTCTGAGCCGATGCGCCGTAGTTGGAACACGTTTGAAATGTTTAGGGTTGGGAGTTTAGGCCAAACACCCTGCCTGAGAGCTTTTGCACGGCGTCGCCTCCGGACAAACCGAGGAGCCTAGCTTGGGGTGAATTGAGCTCCTCTTGTTATCTCCTCGGCTTTTGGCCGATCCTGACTCTGTAGCCCCGGCCTCTACGGTCGGGTTTTCGGGAGGCAGCCGCTCTTCCTCATCGCGTCGTAGCTCCGCGTCTGTGGTTGTCTCTGCATTAGCTTGTGTCTCAGTTCTACGCCCTCAAACCTATAAATTTGTTTACTCGCCGGTTTTTGCAATGGCTGAAGTGGGGGTTCTTGAGCTTGTTCACTAGACGCCGACATGTCAAGAAGTCTGAACTGTTCTTTTTTAGCAGCCAGTGGCAATGCCAACCTCAACTGTAACGTGAACTTTTGTAATGTTGACTACAACATCTTCAACGTTAAGTATGGCATTGCCCGTAATGTTAACTGAGCAGAAACAGTCGTTTTGCCATGCGCAGATTTGTTTTTGTGGGACCGTGGATTTACAGATCCAAGTGTGCGTTCGGCTGGATGTAGCTGCCCGGCAGCGCATACGAACATCTGTTGCCAAATTTGTTTGCAACTTTTTTGAGTCTTAACAAATCGAATGAACACCTAGCTTTTCCTACTCCCTAAACCCTAAACCCTAAACCCTAAACCCTAAACCCTACTAAACCCTCAACCCTCAACCCTAAGCCCTACGCATGCTGTGAGCCAGGCACCTGTTTGCGGGGTGAAGGCTGCGGCGCCACTGTGGTACTTGGAGCTGGCAGCCAAAGAGGAGAGGTCTAGGGTTGAGGGTTTAGGCTTTAGGGTTGAGGGTTTAGGGTTTAGGGATTTGCTTTGCTCTGAAGCAGGCTGGAAAGGAAAAAATAGAGTGCCTGACGGGGCACGAGAGGATTCTGATGCTGGGTAGTTTTAGGGCTTAGGGTTTAGGGCTTAGGGTTTAGGGTTTAGGGGTTTCTCCTGTCAAGGCTGCATGGTGGATCCTTCTTGGCGTCTTGTCCTCTGTCAGCCTGCCTCCATTTGCCCAGCGAGTGGCGAGTTGTTGTACTGCACTTCTCAGACCATGGCAGGTCGGTTTCGGAACCGGCCTGCATTCAGGCGGTTTGCACAGCTGAACTCATGGTGTTCAAGTTTGAGGGTTTCTTGAAGTTTAGAACTTATGAGAAGTAGACGTGTGATCGCACTGGAGGTATGATGTTCCTTTTCCCCCACGTTCTGCAAGTTGTCAGCGCTGCGGAAAGCTGCCACACAACCACCGGATGCTTGGCTTATGGATGCTTGCGGCCATGCTCATGGTAGTTGTGAGGGTTCTGGTTGCTGCGCCATGTGGGTAAGGACTCATACCGTGGTACCAGCACCCCTGCAAGCTAGATTGCAGCACCACCACAGCTCCTTTCGACGACAGCACTGCACCTTGTCACGAACCTTCCGGATGAGAAAGCTGTGCGGCGTGATCATAAGCCACGAGCTCGGGTTTAGGCCCAGATTTGCTGGCCCTTGCCTTGCCAGGTCACATTCTTGAATCTGTGGGCAAAGGCAGGCCGAGTCTCAAGTCCGCAGGTGTCCCGTGACGTCATGTTCCCTAAGAATTGAGTTCATTAATAATCCAGTCAGGTGACAATTCCTTGCATGCTGTGGGGTTTCGGCACTGCAGTCGGGGAGCTGCAGCTTGGCAGCAGCTGGGCAGTCTTTGTAACGGAACAGAATTGTCTGGATCCTCGAGTCATCAATCTTCACGGTGTCATGAGCTTCTTCTGAGGCCTCCGTACCTTGTGTCCAAGGCGCTAGCTCTTCCCAAAGACTTTCCAAGACTGCGTAAGAGTCGCTGTAAGGGCTTTTTTTTGTCTCACCTGATGTGTTCGCGCGTCGCGTGTGGAGGCGGCTCGCCTGTCTGGCTCAACAGATGAGGAGTTTGCAAAGGAGATGGAGGCAAGAAGACCTGCAAGTTGTTGATCCCTCGCCTCAAAACAGATGTTGATGAAGCCCGCCTCCCAAGCTTCTTGACTTTGGGTTTAGGGTTTAGGGTTTAGGGTTTAGTGTTTAGGGTTAGGGGGTTTAGGGTTTAGGGTTTTTGCGAGGAGGCCAAGGGTAAGACGGATCTCTTCAGCCGGATGAAGCTGTGGACTGTTGCTTGTCTCAAGCAAAGGCTACAGACGGCTTGGCATGTTGTTCGTTAGCATCCTTTACCGAGGTGAACTTCACGGAGAAGCACGGCTTTCTGGGAATCTTCCTTCTAGCGCCCACCTCCTCAGTTCTCTGGGAGGGAACCTTCTTGTGCTGGATGGCTTTGAAGCCTGTGTCTTGTCAGTCTTGCGTCCATGCTCTCGTTTGAGACTTCAACAGGTCCTGGCCAAATGCTGCCTTTGACATGTGTGGCAGCTTGGAAGATGTTTGGTGTAGGTGCAGGGTTTAGGGTTTAGGGTTGAGGGTTGAGGGTTTAGGGTTTAGGGTTGATGTTCTCAAAAGGTGACAGGGGCAGCCAGCTTCCCTCGCCCTCGGTTTTGTACCAAGGCATGTGCTGTGGGTACCTGATGATGCCCTTCTGGACCTTCTTCATCGCTACTGCACTAGGCCTGCAGCACGAGCAGAATTCGGGCCCCCCTTGTGAGCTCCGAGATCTTCGGAGATGAATCAGGCAAGGGCGTGGTGAAGGTCAATGGCCAGGCGGTGGTTTTCGTGAACCTTTTCGGGTCTGCTGCCTTCCAGGCACGGCCCCCCAAGGACTCATGACATTCCGTCTGCCCGGCCACATCGAGTTGGGGAGGTCATGCTGAAAGGCTTCGACTACCTCAATGGCGTGGTAGAGGCCATTGAGCAAAAAATCCTTCTGAGGTTTGGGTTGTGCAAGCTGCTAACCAGGCGGTCTCTGGCCAGAACTTCCAGATCAGTACGAAGGCTTCTTATCGGCACGAGTTCAGTTTTTGAGTCGCAGCTCAATCGAGAATCTGTGAGCCATGCGGGCAGCTGGGGGGTTTTGCAGTTTTTGTGTTTATAGTATCCTACATTTTGTTGGTTTGTGGGTAGGTTGCATCTGCTGCAAATATTGTAAATGGCAGCATTTCTGAGTTTCCAGAGGCTGCAAATACGGCAAGTAGCGCAGCATGACGCGGCAACTGTCTTGCTTAAGATGGCGGCTTTGGACGGGCGTGGCACCTGTGAGGATTAAAGGTTCTTAGTAGGGAATGAGGGAAGGAGGGCCCTATATATACCCTTTAAGGGATTATATACCCTTTAAGTGATTATACGGTGCATGATGCGGCAACTATCCTGCTGAGGAAGTTGGTGTTGGACGGTGTGATGGGCCGTTGAGGGGTTTGATGGATGATTAAGGTCAGGGGGTGCGAGACCTATCTGTGATAAAGTGCCTTCGTGTGCCCTGACCTTGAAAGTGTCCCTGAAAGCGCTTCAGCTGCGAATTGCGATGACGGCATGCTTACGCCCCCACGCCCCAATGCTGTCCAGAAGCTACTGCTCACCTTCAGCATTCAACATCGGTTGTGGCATGATGTCGCATATTCTCGCATGCACCACAACATGTAGAACTCCATTCCGGCAAGAAGATATTGGAACGATGCCAAGGTGGCCGGATTGCGAGCCAAGCTCCTGGCAAAGTTTCAGCAGCAGTCCAGCAACTCCTCTGCACCGGAGTATCTGCTGAGGCACATGCGAGATGCACCTGAGACACGATGACACACTTGCTGAGGATTTCCGCCGGAGCACCTGTTCACGAATGACCACGACAAGAGGCTCGTGTTAGAGGAGGTTCTGCAGCTGCACCTCGTCGAGAGCAGCGCTTCCAGCGAGTGCTGCGTTTGCGGTCGTGGTGACTAGTTTAGTCACGATGCCGCAAACGAAGAACGGCATCAAACCGAGGTACCACACGGAGGACAAGGCCCACGAGATTGCAGAGCGAGTCATGCAGGCGTGGGACATGAACGGCGACAAGGCCATCCAGCAAACACGGAAGACCGTCGTCAGGGATACTCAAAGCATCCCACTGGTTTGCTTGAGCTCGGCTTTCATTTAAGTGCAAACGTGGGTGTGTGTCATCAGGCCATCGAAGTATCTGAGATGCAGATGGCAGCCTCACGAACAGACGCTTGGACTGCATGTTCAGATTGACAGTGGCCACTTGAGCAATCGCCGTGGAATACTGCTGTATTCATTGAGATTCCTGTCTCAAACTGTAAACGAGGATGGGAAAATTTCCTTGTCATCATTAGATCCTGGTGCACCTACCAGCCACTCGGCGTCCCATGCAAGTCCCAGACATGACTGGTGCTTTTTGAGCCTCTTTGGATTGAGACGTGTAGTGTGTAGTGGGGTAAGTAGACCAGTCTTGTGGAGCAGTTGTGCATCGTGGTGTTGCGATTGTCCAGCCATACATTTTGCAGGTTTTCTGAAAGTGCCTAGGCTGCATATAGGCTGCCTCCATTTCTCTGGGCCCGGCTCCCTCCCCTTCCCCTCCTCCCTCCCCGCCTCTCGAGTCTCGACATCTGAAGCGAGCGTCTGTGACAGATTGCCGGGTTTCAGGGTGAGATTCGCTCAACTACTTTGCTTTAACATCGATTGGACAGCTGCGATTGGCTACAGTTGCTGCCTTCTTTGAGATTCGAGCCCGGAAAGCTTAGCATCATTCTCAGCCAACCCAGGTGTGCTGGGAGCTCTTCGTTGTGAGCCTCGTACTTTACTTCGTAGTTGGTGACTCAGCCACTCCAGCCCACAACCTCTGCCCGGTTGTTGGCTTCTGGGCTTCAGGTCTCCATCATGAATCAGATGGCCCAGTCCAAGCAAGCCGAATACGATGAGGCCAAAGTCGAAGAGCGGGCTACTCAGAGCTGGGGCGATGTTTCCGACACGGAGTCCAGTCCACATGTTTTATCATGATACACTATAATACTGTATATAATATGAATAGAATATATGTAGTATAATGTAGTATAATGTAATAAGCTGAAGGTTGCGGAAGAAGGTGGACAAGAAGAAATGAGCAAAGAATGAAGCGGCTGCGAATCTTGCAGCCTGCACGCCGTCGCATACAACAAAAACCCTTCCAAAAACCCTTCAAAACCTTCAGGGCACAGGTTGGCACAGTTCGAGTAACCAGTCCCCAGCACTACTTCGTGCTTCGCAGATCTCCCCCCCCGAGTGGGCGCTCCAAGCAGGAGAGAGCGCCCTCGGCCTCCTAAAATGGCTCACAATGCAGCCTGTTGCCGAGTGAAGATCGTTTTTCTCAGAACGTTGTGAAGACGGACGCCCCACTGCTTTGAAAGATGTCTTCACTCCCCCAGAGAGGCCCATGAGGCCATGTGGCTTTGCAGCCAGTCTTGGGGTTAGGGTTTAGGGTTTAGTAGGGTTTAGGGTTTAAGGTTCAGGGTTCAGGGTTTAGGGTAGGATTTCAGGCAGGTCTTGGGGCAGAGAGTCCTTCAACATTGACAACAGCCCCATCCCCAACTCCTTCGCCGTCCGTCAAAGATTGACTGATGGCATCTGCCTGAAAAATGGGACGATGCAAGGCTGATGTCACACGTGCCAGTCGGACCAGCTTTGACTAGCAATGTCTCGAGTCCAGTACAGAAGCCTCCACGAGTCTCCATAGGGTCAAAGCCTTTCCCCAAGTTGAAATCATCGCAGGACTACCGAGATCTCTGCCTCCAGTTTCTGGAACGTCCAGATCCCGACAGCCACGGTATACGATCGAGCTGCGATGTTTGCGCTATAGCCAAAGTTGCTGTCTCCACTCTGAGGTCTGGAGCCCAGGCCTCAGGCGGTGCTGGTGACCCCTCCACCAGCCTACTCGGAGTCCCTGGACGTGCTGCAGGCAAGGAAGTTGACGTAGGCATCGGCAAAGCAGGTGCAAAACGAAGGCATCGATGCATCTTGTGCCGAGGAGGTGGTCAACCGGGCTCTGCCGGATGCTGTTCGCCGAGTTGCAGTAGCATCGGAGCGTCTGGCGCCCCAATGGATGCAGCAGCTGATTGTCGATGCAAGACGAGCAGTAGAATGTATACGAGGACAGCAACAGTAAGCTCATGTGCCAGGTGCCATCAACGAGCCGATGGAGAAGCAGGCTGCACGGACCTGCGCGAGCAAAGATGCGTTAAAGGGACAAAGAAGTGCGTCCAGTTTAGCAGGCAAAGCGTGGCCGGACCACCGTGCCACCCGAGCTGCTTGTTGCGGCCTTGGGGAGTGCCGTCGAACCGTGACGGGAGCATGCTCTGTGCACTGTTCACAGGCCCATACATCTTTGATGGAGGCGTTCGATCTTCTCGGAGGCCGAGCCTTATTTTCTGCTTGCGAAACGCTGCTGCAGAAGTTGTGTGAAGTTGCACATTCAGGAACACCAAGGAACAGATAAACCGACAAGCATCAGCTTTGCGTCTAGACAGCCAAAGGGGGTCGTCGGATAGTTATATGGTGGCCTGCTAATGTCATTTTGCCTCCCACGTGGGAGGATGCCTTTACGCACTGCACATTTCCCAGGATGACATGTTGCCATCCTTGATTTTACAGCTCAGACAATTGTCTTCCTCTGGCCCACATGACTATGTGCCTATTTCGCATGAAGACGTTGCTGCATCTTTCTTCTTAGGGCTTTTAGCACACCCTAAAAGCGGCGCAGTGCCGACTAGAATTCTGACCTGAGCTCCATGGTCTGTCCTTTTTTTTGCAGGACCAACTCTAGCCAAGAGAAGCTATTTTGCAGACGACGGCATCCACCTGAACGAAAGAGGTATGTTGGCAGCATCCAGTTTCTGGAAGCAGCAAGGTGCAAGACAAGGTCGGACTGATGGTCAGGGCATGTGAACAAAGTGTTGCGCAACCGAGGTACGAAGCTTCTGGCTCTTGCTGTCTTTGCCGAGCTCCGGACAAAGGCACGAAGATGGAGAACACCTTGTATGTGTTGAGTCTGGCAGTCCGGTACTTGCCTTGCTTGTGGTTTGGGATTTGGTTTCGGATCTTGCTTCGAGGCTTGAAAATGAGTTGGTTTGTTGGTTTGTCTCAGTCTGTAAGCTCAAGGGGATTTTCACTTTTCTTTTGTTTTTTTTTTGGGGGGGGGGGGGGGGGTGTTCTTAAGCAAGTAGTGGTAAGGGCAAGTGAAGCTGAGGCGATGCTTTGCTAGACTTCGCGTTTTGCCGCCCGCCGCTCAGGTTGGCAAGTACCTGCGCAAGCGGGCAGATGAAGCAGCCCGGACTGTGCCGGACAATCCATTGGGCCTCTGACATCTGCCAGGCCACATAGCTAAGCTCCGTGTGAGACCTAGGTTGGGATGTTCCCCCTTATACGGTCCTTAATAGGGATTATGCTTGGGGTACGAGAATCCCTACTAAGGACTGTTCCCAAAGAGCCCAATACCCCTCAATTAAGGAATATTCCTGAAATCATAATAAGGATCCCTTTATGATTTACGCTATATTCCTTAATTGAGGGGTGTTGTGCTCTCTGGGTTAGTATAAAAGGGGGAACATCCCAACTTGAAACCGTCGTTTGCAGCCCGAGTTTGTCGGATTTGGAGGTGGTGGCCTCTGGAAGAATGCGCCTGAGCCCAGGGCTGTTGATGCTAAATTGCCTCAGCAACAACAGGGTTTAGGGTTTAGGGTCCAGGGTTTAGGGTTTAGGGTTTAGGGTTTAGGGATGCTTGCCCCCGGAGCTCTTTGCCCAGGTTGAGATTTACCTGCGACTGAGTGGGTCTGCCGACAGAGGGCCGAAAGCCAAAGACAGAGCTGTGGTCCCAGAGAGAGGCGTGTCCCGAACCAAAGAAGCTGTTTTGCTGTGTCCGCTGTACATCTTGGCGGCACAAAAGGGTAGAGGTCTAACGCCAACCGACGCGGGTGCAACTTAAGCTCTAACCTCTCCTTCCCCTGCTTTATGAACTGACGACATGGTAAACATGCATGATAAGCAAGCTTGGAAGCAGCAGAGTGGACTTCCGGTTTTAGCAGCAGTAGCAAAGGTAGCAAGAGCGGCAGTAGTAGCAACAGCAGTCTGAGTAGGATCGGGTTCGAGCCGAAAGTGTTGTACACCGCAAGCGGCTCATTTCCCACAGCCCTGGAGTTGTTTCTAGCATGGAGGCCTGCATGCTGATGGTCAGAATTCAGCACGTCCAGCTATTCCTGTTACCACACTCAAAGAGCCCAATACCCCTTAATTAAGGAATAGAGCTTAAATCATAATGAGGCTCCTTATTCTAACTTAAGCCATATTCCCCTAAACCCTAAACCCTAAGCCCTAAACCCTAAACCCTAAACCCTAGACCCTAAACCCTAAATCCTAGACCCTAAACCCTAAACCCTAAATCCTTAATTAAGGGGTGTTGGGCTCTCTGGGCAGCAGTGACGCAGAGCGGCCGTGGACTGGCTCGAGGAAGAATGTGTTTCACCTGACCCAGTCTTGGCGTCTTCAGCGCGCTGAGAACTTTCAGGGTTTAGGGTTTAGGGTTTAGGGTTTAGCTGGCCGACGCAGTCCGACGCACACTAGGCCACCTTGCATGGCAGCAAGCACTCACCCAAGGACTCAAGAGCCGACATGGAGTGACAAGTCGGGATACACGGACCCCGAGCTTCAAAGTGCCGAGGGACCCTGCCATGAGCGCTGATTGATGGGCTACGCGCCCTTCGTGCCCCTGGGTAGGAGCTGACCGGGCTTCATGTTTGGGCCTGCCATGTTGCGATTCCGACAAATTTCATTCCCCTCCATTCCTTGAAGAATTTTGTGCAAAGCTTTACTCCCTGGCCTCCACCTCCTGAACCAAGTATGGCGGCCTTGATCCACATCAGAATGACGACATCAGCCTTGCCAGACGAAATCATCGCCAGGGCAAGGACGCAACATGCAATACCTCCCCGATTCTGTTCCGTTGAGGCTTGGTCCTCGGTCTGCACACATGTGCTGTCAACTCAACTCATCTATCTTGTCATGTATTCTCTGAATTTCGAGGTTGTTCGATTGATTCCCGTTTATTTTGAGAATCTGAAACCGGAAGCTGGTTCGGAAACTGAGCCGCAAATATTTGGCAGCCAGTCGTCGGGGGTCTGTGACAAAAGGAGTTGAACGCCTCGCTCTGGACCCAAGCTGTAGCCCAGGAAAACCCTTGGTCCCTAGGGTTTTGGCTCCAAGCTGAATTGGAAGCATGGAAGTCCTTTGACAATTCAAAGACACGTTCAGCAGAGACGAAGGATGGAAAGAACATGAAGGACCTCCAAGATGTTGGGTTGAGACGGAAGGTCCAAAACACGAGTCGCAGTGAAATCGGGATAGTCCTGAGTCGTGGGTGCCTAGGAGCCGGAAGCCCTGTCAGGCAAACAATCAGGACACGTCATTAAGTTAAAGGGAGCTCGAGCCCCGAAGCTAGATAGCAAGCATTCCTCTGGCCTCGGTCCTGTCTGACTGTTCTTTTGAGACTTGGCACGCGCTGCTTTCTCGCCACGCCCGCGTAAGCTTCGAGATGGTTTCCCCTTGACCTGGCCGTCACCCGGATTCCATGGTGTGAGTTCTGGCATCGCCAATTGGATGGGTTTCGCGGACATCCCTTTCACCAGCTGACGCAGGCACTAAGCCTCCCTAAACCCTAAACCCTAAACCCTAAACCCTGAGCCCTAAACCCTAAACCCTAAACCCTAAACCCTAAACCCTAAACCCTAAACCCTAAACCCTAAACCCTAAACCCTAAACCCTAAACCCTAAACCCTGCTGGATGGCAGGGTTTTTACCGTGCCATACCGTGCCTGTCAGGTACCGAGACATGGCTTCGAGGATGCATACCCTCAGGCGTATGTGGAGGCCGGGGTCATACGGCTGAAGACTTAAGCCATTCTGGTCTTTACCAGCCTTTACCAACTGTTCAGAGTTTTGTGTGTGTTTTGATTTGCAAGCCATTGCTGAGAGACCCTTGTCGACTCCAATAGTGTCTCTGAACTCGCCTCGAGCCATCTAAAGACGCGTTCAAGGTATCATTTTGTTCAATGGATCGTATGGGTTTGAGAAAGACATGCTCGGTGACCCTTTCTAGACTAGACGCATGAGGTTTTCTAAGAGAAACCCGAAACCCTAACCCTAAACCCTAACCGCTCACTGGGCCAGGTTGCTCAGAGTCCCTGGTACCCCGAAGAGGCTGTTTGGCAGGCCTTTTGATGCCGACGCGCGCATCTCTCTGAGTCTCTTAAAACCCTAAACCCTAAACCGTAAACCCTAAACCCTAAACCGTAAACCCTAACCCTAAAACCCGAAACCCGGCTCACTCGCTCTCTCTTTCTCTCTTTCTCTCTTTCTCTCTTTCTCTCTTTCTCTCTTTCTCTCTTTCTCTCTTTCTCTCTTTCTCTCTCTTTCTCTCTCTTTCTCTCTCTTTCTCTCTCTTTCTCTCTCTTTCTCTCTCTTTTTCTCTCTTTCTCTCTCTTTCTCTCTCTTTCTCTCTCTTTTTCTCTCTTTCTCTCTCTTTCTCTCTCTTTCTCTCTCTTTTTCTCTCTTTTTCTCTCTTTCTCTCTCTTTTTCTCTCTTTTTCTCTCTTTTTCTCTCTTTTTCTCTCTTTTTCTCTCTT